CTTCCTTCTTTCCTTCCTTCTTTCCTTCCTTCTTTCCTTCCTTCTTTTTCTCTTGTCTCTTTTCTCCCATTTTATGGTTATGAATATATACTCACTCTGACAAAACTCCCACACATTTTTGTTAACTAACTTAGGGAAAAAGGGAACATGAACTTGGAACTAAGTCAAATGTGCAAATTTTAGTTAAAAATGTGTACTTGCCTTGGAGGGGAGGTTTATTTTATTTTAGTTCATAAGGCTTCTAGGAGATAGGAGAGATCTAAATTAAGGAAAAAAAGGAATGAAACAAATCAAAATGGTAAAAAAAAATATATATATATATTAAATTTTATGTGGTACTTTGTTTAAAAAACAAACAAACAAAAAAAAACAAGCGAACACAAGAATATTCTAGAAAAACTAATATTTATTTTTTGGAAACTTTAGTTCTCCATATCAACTAGTTGGTATTCTAAACATGAAAGTAAAATACTCAAATAGTAATATTTGTTGTTGGTATGATCTCTCCCTCAATTCTGTTTAAAGAAGTAAGTACTAAATCAAACAAAAAGGTGTATCATTCAAATTGCTTAGCAGCAATTAACTTGATGTACCAAACGAAATAATTCCAAAATAAAAGACTCATAAAACTTAAGAATTTCCTCTAGTTGCATGCAGTACATTTAAAGACCATGTAGGGGCAGTCTGGAGTAGCTAGTATTTCATGCATTAGAGGATGGTGAGCTGGCTACTAGAATTTAATTGCAGTCTTCCTGGAAGTGGGTGTGTTAAACTATATAATTCTTTATTGTATGAATGAAATAACCAATGAATCTTCTTGTAGCAAAAATAATCAGCAACCAAAAGCCACAATTAGATCGGTGCATCAGTGGTTGTCCTTAAAAGAGTGTATTGAAATGAAAATAGTCAAATTAGTCTCATTCATTGAATTTGCTGAATGCTATTGTATAGTATACTATTACAGAAAGGGATTTTAAATACCTAATGCTACTGCTGGTTTCAGCGATCATTATTTGAGCGTTGTAACGTGGGTAACGGATGAAAGGATCTGTCTGCAGTGGCTCCGAAGAATTCAGAATTTTTCAGTCCTCACCATCTGTGACTTTGAAAGTGCAACTGGAAATTGGACATGTCCACAGGTAAGAAAACTGAAATGGAAGAGTCACAATGTTTGATAAACAAGACTTGATAGTAGTAGAGTATCTCTGTATTGTTTCTCTTTGTAGAAACATAGGCTGATATAAAACAAAATCGCACAATAATTATGTTTATTTTCTCTTTCTTAGGAAAAACAACTTACGGAAGAAAGTACAACTGGCTGGATTGGCAGAGTGAGTGATTTCTAAAACTGCAACGTGTTAAATGACACTGATAATTAAGAAATTTTCTTGTGAGCCGCTTACCAGTTACAATGCTCTTGTGTGCAAGGCTGCTCCATTCACTCACTGCGTTTTGTATATGAAGGGAAAATATCTCATGTGGAGTTGCACAACATCCTTACTCCCACTTTTAAACAATGTGGATACTGCTTTCTGAACTCCCAAGGCTGGGATGACAGTGTGGGCTGGAGCCCACATCCTCCATGACATGTGCATCACTTTCAGCTTGCCAAAAAGCAGAGATCTTATTCCAGGCTTCTTTTTAATTCTGAACTATTGCTTAGGTAGTAGTAGGTAGGAGAACCTGGATGTCAGGATTCAGAATTCCCTTTGTACTGGAAGAACTGTCAGCTATGCTGGTTTGGCTGCTCTCCAGTCTTCTTGCCACCTCCAGAATGATCTAGGGAATAAAACATTAAGAAACGTGTCCTATACTCTTCAAACTGAAATGAAGGAGATGTAGAGGATAGGAGTCGATTATAGTCTTTCAAATTCTCCCTGTTAGTTTTTGTTTGTTTGTTTGTTTTTCCCAGGAATAAACCACTTCAAGTACCCTTTAGTTTTTTTGAATTAATTTATATTTTTCCCCATCCCAGAATATCCACTGGAGAGAACTAAGGACAAGATGCTTACAACTGATCGGATTAAAATTTGCATACTTTTCTGCCAGACCAATTGCTACTATTTGGATGATGTTTTCCAAGCTGCCTTTCAATACTTTTGTTCATGGTAGAGAGTAGGCACCTAATGAACTACACAGAAGATCTGGGGGAAGTGAAGCAGAGATGCAAAAGTTCAGACTTGGAGGGAGAAATGAGTTTCAGAGTTTTTATGAGAACACGGAGTACACTTTCCACTCCCGCATTTTCCACACACTGATTATGCTTTAGTCACTAATTCACTTTTGAAGTCAAAAATGAAAGTTTAAAGAAATGCAAAGAGGGAGGCAACAGCAGGGATGAAATCATCCGCAGTATGAAGATGAGAGATCAACCCACCTGCTGTCAAATTTGATATGGAAAGGAAGGCCTTAGCGCTGACACATTTTGCTTCTCTGCAGCAAAGGCTTCACAATTAGACAATGTGATGATCAAGCTGCAGACTTTGTAAACAGTTGTGCAAAATGAGAGGGCAAAATGCGAGTCTGTGCCATTAAACTAGGTTGTTGGTTTTTTTGTTTCTTTTAAAGAGACAACCCACATCTTAGAAGCTGTTGGAAGGAAAATATGATTTCACTGTATGGTTCTTGGATTAGAGAAGGGAGAGGAAAGTAAGCATGATTGAAGAGGGGATAAGAAAGCTATCTTTATACCCTCTTAATCTTCTACTTAAGGATGATAAAATGATGTTTGACTGATAAGGCATGTTTCTAAATCTATAAAAGAAAGATATGTATATGATTCTATATATGTATATACACATATATTTCATATGTTCTATGTACAAGCTTACATAAAATCATGTATATGTGCATAAAACATATACTTCTCTTTTTGCGTGTGTTCATAGGCTTTTTTTCCTTTTTTTATTTTTTTTTTTTATTTTTTCTGAATATAGAGATGAAATTGTTCTTAATCTAAGAATGCTCCGAACTTCGCAGCCTGTGTTACTGCAATAAGACATCCAGGTCATGAGCTCAGCTAGAACCTGCCAGTTGAGATGACAAAAAGTCACACTTTGAAAAAGCAAGACTGATAAGGGAAAAGCTAGAAAAATGCATCTGGATGTTTTGTGCAAAAATATTACTAGCAAAGAAGGTACAATTACCTGGAGCATGTGAGGGAGGGAGATTAAGTTCTGTCATTGCTTATTTAATGACTGGGGGCAAGTTAGTTTAACTTTCAGTTTTCATTTACAAAACAGGTATAATATCTCAGATCATGCTGTGTCTATCGGGTAAATGTTAATGCGTTTGATACATCGATCAGGAATAACTTCTGCTTCATTTGCTCATTCCTCTGTGTTTTTTTCCCTACCATGTGGAGCACATCCAAAGTATGTGCTATAGAAGGGACCCATTTGTTTCTATCACTCCCATTTGATAACTGCAGGGATATTCCTTCACGAACGTAGCATTCCAGTTAGGTTTTATGAGACATCTCATAATGACCTACTTACTAATAAAATTTCTCTAGAAAAGCAGCTTGTTTTCTTTCAGAGTTCAAAGATTTGTTTACAACTGTGTGTTTTAAAATGGGGCATTCGAAGAAACTGCTTTCAATATTTAGATTATCCAAACCAAAGCCATAACCTATGGCAGAATAAAGCAGTTACTTTAAAGGTAGATGCATATATCATTTCGTAAAATTATAGGAAACCAGGAACACTTACAGGAATTCAAATTCAAACAAGGTAAGGAAGAGCATCTGTCATTAGCAGAGGTCTAGCACTCAAGAAGTTCTGCCTCCTTTAGGATCAGTGAGATATTTTGAGTGGGTTCACTTCTAGAGTAGTGTCTACAAGTTTTGCCTGCTAAGTCAGTAGGCAAAATATCCTGGTGAAATATTGTTTAAAGTATAGAAGCTTCTGTTTAGAGATATCAAAAACTGAATTTATCATTTTTGTTTTGGAGTTTTGTTGTTTGCTTTAATCAACATCTTTCTTGCGTTCAAGTTTCAGCCATCTGTACCTTATTTTGCCCCAGACAACACTACCTACTACAAAGTCTTCAGTGACACAGAAGGTTACAAGCACATTCATTACATAAATGGCACAGAGGTAAGTTATAGGACAATAACTGCTGATTTTTTTTTCTGCTGGTGGTCAAGAAGCCTCCTATTCTGTTTTTTGCCTTGCCTTTTTCTCCTCTCCAGGCTCCAGTACCTATTACTGAAGGAAAGTGGGAAGTAATCAGCATAGCAGCTGTAAACAAAAATTTTCTGTAAGTATCATAATTAAGTTATTGCCTCCTAGTAGTGTATAAGCAGACCAGGAAAGAGAACAAGGGGTGGGTGCCTTTTAATTTATTAAAAATCTGATCTAAACATTTAAGATAATCCTTTAAATATTGTATTGTATTGGAAGCACTTTATCAAAACCAGTATGCTTTGTTTTTCTAGGTACTATATTAGTAATCAAAATGGTGATATGCCAGGTGGAAGGAATCTTTACAAGTAAGAAATTTGTTCTGCACTACTAGTAACATATCTGCTAATGAAATGTAATACTTAAAATTTCTGTGTCAAAGATTAGGCTGTTCATAGTCTCAAATACCTCCATTAATAGGATATTTAATTAGAATCAATATAGTAATTAAACTTCAAAAAACTATAGTATTTTTCTGTAATCTTAGTAATAAAGAAAGAAGCATGTTGCCCCTGAAGAAAACCTCTCATGCTTTTACTTTTGCTGTGATGATAATTCCAGTATTAACTGAAATTAAAAATTTTAAATTTCCTTGCTTTGCTATTTAAGCCAATAAGAGCTTTATTCTTGAATTTTATCAAATTTTATTTGGTCATCTTATTCAAAAAAATATACTTGTGCTCCATGTTTTGTTTGTTTTTTGTTGGTTTTTTGTTTTTTTTTTTTAATAATAATCTTTCATCTCTGAAATTAAGCTCATCTACTTTGCAGAATGCTCTTGGAAAGCAGTCCAAAATCTACTCAATGTGTTAGCTGTGATTTGAATCAAGAAAGATGCCAGTATTATTCTGCTTCCTTCAGCAAAGATGCACAATATTATCAGCTAAATTGTCTTGGTGAGTACATCTGGAATTAGTTGACATACGTATGATTCACTGTTTAGTTGGGTGGGGAAGTTCACCCTGTCAAGGTCTTGATAGGCACTGCATAACTTATGTATTGGCATTGGCAGTGGAAAAACATACTCCCTTCTAGGCTTAAAAGAACCTCAATAAAATTACAAGGTTATAAATTATAGTTCTATTCACTAATGGACCTGAAAGGGGCAGCAAACATTCCTGTTCTGTATGCAAACCTGATTATCCTCAGAAGCTGCCCACATAATTAGATGCCATTTGTAATATGCTAAAAGTTGTAGCGAACTGCAGTTTCTTTAGAGCAAGTTAAAAGAACAATAACACCATACCTTATGGATTAAAATTCCTTCATCACAATTGTGACAAAGAGGAGGTAGTACCTTACTTTGAGGCCAGAGAGAATAGAGAAATTTCTCTGCCTACGCGGTATTTGAAGATAGGAAATCATTGCTAAGGCCCTGTAGGAGGACTTGTTTCTTTTTTCTGGGCTGTTCCTGTAGAGCACTGCATACAGTTGTGCTGTCTAAGGGAACATACTGTGCATGGGGAGCTCTATCAGTAGAAGTGATCTGTAAGCTCTGGGAACAAGAGGTCATCAGCTAGGTAAAGAAAAGTGCCCTATGTGGGAATAAAATTAAGATAGGTAGCACTGTTTAAAGAATCCACTGTATATAACTACGTAGTCATACGTTAAGCACTGGGACTGCAGTCTGACCTATAAGCACTAGATATAAATGAATCACAGGGTGGGGAAAAATAAAAATCTTTCTAAGATTTCCACTTAACTTGAAAAGCATGTACCTCACAGTCACATAGTTGCCTGCAAGACAATTTGAATATTTATATGATGCTTCAGCTTCAGTTTGGGCCTCACTAACTGAAAACAATATACGTAGAATGGATGAAAACAAATTCTGAGCCTTTGTGATTCACCCAATTCCAATTACTTTTTCAGAGTTGTTTTATGAGACAGCATGCAAACATAAAGGTTTTCTGCTCTGTCAACAGGTCCTGGCCTGCCCTTGGCTACTCTGCACAGAAGTAGTGATGATCAAGGTATGAAATTGTCTTAAAATATAATTTCTGTTAAACCGGGAACATGCATTGTAAATTTATTTTAATTCTCATTGCCTAGTATAATAATTAAAAAGTCAGTTTTATCTGAAACTAAATTTATCCTTTATTTCTCTACTATAGTTAACCACAAGAATAAAATAAGTAGTTCAGCTTGCAGCTATTAATACTTCATTTAATATTATCCTACACTGTGCTAGAAAACAGTAAGTAATCTATGTCTTATTTAGTGGACAATTGCTTGGGTTTTGTGAAAATACAGTTAGAAAATGTGGAAACTGGCATTCTGGTTTCTAAATTACTGAGGAAGAACTATGCCAGAAGCATTGATTATGAGAGAAAACAAACTGCAGTATGCTGAGACTACCAAGTAGGTGGCCATCTTCTCAGGTTGACTTTTCAAAGTGATTCATATTCAGAGAGTAATGGATATGAAAATAGTGTTTGAGCTTCGACACTTATGAACTGTTATTTAGTCCTCAGGTACTTGGAAAATAATACTGAGCTGGAAAATTCATTGAAAGATATTCAAATGCCTTCAAAAAAACTTGGCTCCATTACTGTAGGAGGATACAGTAAGTTCAAAAATGTTTTGCTTTTCTTCTCCACTTTGCCAAGTCCTTCAAAGTCTTTTTGAAAAGAGCATGACAAAAAAGATGAGTGTAGAGGATATGTTTGCAGTTATTTGGTGTTTAGAAGTATAGAAAATATAGAAAAATATATTATGTGTGTATGTGTATATATGTGTGTGTGTGTGTGTGTATTTGCTGAAATATACAAGCATTCTGACCTAAAACACTCTTTTTCCATAATGTGATGTCTTTAAGTTCTCATAATGATATGAATTTGCTCTATTTTTCCTTGATCTTTACCTGAAAAATAGTAGGAGGCTCTACCACCAATTTGGAGGGAAAAAAAGGAAAAAAGTGAGGTGGAGCAGGCACAACATTCTTAAGCACGTTACCTTAAATTCTAAATTCAAGCAGGTCTTAATTCACAGACATAAATTTCTTTGGTTGGAGAGAGCAGGTGGGAGGTGACATACAATTAGTATTGAAAAGTTTTCTAACCTAAATGGTAAGGTTTGCAAATCAAAAAACACTGCTTACCTTTGAACTTCTGCAGGGGATATTTCAGTTGAATAGTCACATTGTTAAAAGCATGTTCACACTCAAGGTCGCATAAACTGAATAACAGAATGTTAGAAAACAAACTGGTAATGCTTTGCTCATAGCACTTATTTGAATCTGCACATCCAAATACAGACAATTCCTTGGAATGTTCCTAGACTGAGGAACATCAGGTAGGTACCAGGCCTAACATTGCCATTCTGTCTGAACTGTTTTTTGCTCAAGCCTTTGCTACTAGCTTTTCTATTTGTGACAGGCTTCCTCTTGATAAAATGAATATTCTTAAATTTCATTTTACATGCTGTGTTGATTTCCCTCAGTCCCTGTAACCTGTTCTTGTAGATGTCTCCCTACTTCCGCTGTTACTTTGTTTAATAACAGTCTTTACCTTTGTGTTTTCTGTCTTTTATTTTAGTCACATTTTTAATAGGGCGAAAGGTGAAATCTTCCAGGAAAGATGGAGGTTTAAAGTATTCTTTATGCTATCAGTTGTGTATTCATCTTTTTATTCTTCTTTGCTCTCACTACTTCATCTCATCAGAGTAAAAACTTCTGGGTAAGGGGATTCTATTTTTAATGTCACAAGTAGAATAAATAAATTCATTTCTGTTGTCCTAATTCAAGTTCCAAGTCCGCTTGCAAATCAGTGTATTACTTGCACTTACGTACAACATACTTATCAAAGAAATTGACTCCTATGACTGCAAAAGTACATAGACAATGTAAAATAAAGGAAAAAAAAAGGCATTTTTAAATGTTTGATTAAGGCTTAGAATTTTTCAGTGGTTTTAATGTATTGTATTTTTCTGTCTGGACAGACTGCTGCAATACTGTAATACACTCTAATCATTACTGCAGTACAGTCCATTATAATTGATTCATGCAATTATACATGTACTTTACAGCATCCATTCTTTTAAAATTAATGAGTAATGGTAAAGCCAGTTGGTTTGCAAAACTTATGTTGTGTACATTTCAAATATTCTCCTAGCTCTCTGACAACTTCTCTAGAAAGAGCAATATGGATAGAACCAGAACAATGTTGCTTGAGGATATAATAGATATTTGGGTATGTTCCTGTGATGCTTTACAAACTGCTCTGTAAAGCCTACATGGTATGTTGATAGTATTTAGAATTTATTTTTTTAGTGCTGGGAGAGAAACTTGAGTATTGAAATATTTTTGAGTTTGTTGTATAATACCCTCTGCAGATACTTATCTAGTTTTACAGGTAAGATTTATAATGTAGGATAGTGTTAAAGGAAATCATGTTAATGCCACAGATTGTATTATTTTAGGCATTCTGGTTTAAAACTTTCTTCTAACTTTTCTCTATGTATTTGTTTGCTTAACTGGAAACCTTTACTTGTGTATGTTAGTACAGTTCAGATGAAGTTACTTTTTAAGGGAGTGATTCGAATGTGCCCTCGTATGAATTGCAAAGTATGTCAAGTTATTTTACCGGAGAACTGACCAAAATCACTTGCTTCTCTTTTAGACCTCTGGTATCAAATGATATTGCCTCCCCATTTAGATTCATCAAAGAAGTACCCTTTGCTCCTCGAAGTGTAAGTCTTCAACTTATGTGGGAATGTTGCATTAATAATCAATCACCTGTATGTACTTCAAATCCTTTTAATAAGTTTGGGAAGCGTGGAACTGATGTGTTTTCTAATTACTTCTTGGAGGAGTTTTAATAGAGAATGAAAATAAGGGATGTATCCCAATTTCTGATAAATTTCTGTGCCATAAGATGATGCTGTGCTTAATAAGAGCATATTTTGTGACTAGCAGTGAAGCAGATATGTTCTGTATCTTATTTAAAAGCCAGGATGTTAGTGTTAACTTGCTATGTTCTCTGTTCTTAGTCCTTTAGGAAGATTTTAAAACTGCATTTCAAAATGAAACCTTGAATAAGCCACATATCTGTGATATTTGACTGTTTGGAGCATTGTCTCATTCTGCAAAAATATCCAGTGTATCTGCCTTCTGCATTTTGTTCAAATGCCAGTCTTGCTACTTATCTATTTTAAGGGATGAGAGAAGAAAGTGAGATAAGCCATGTCTGGTTTAAAAAAAAAAAATTAAAAAAAAATTAAAATAAAAAATCAGGCTGGTAAACAGCCATACAAAGTTTAGTTCAGCTCAATTTGCTTATCCTTCACTTAACAAAAAAAAGTTGAAAGAAATAGTTTTCATGAAAGTGGTTTTTTTTTTTTTTTTTTTTTTTTTAGCTGCTTATTTATTTATTTATTTATTTTTAAAGACCTTAATCTCCTCAGAAAAGGAGACCCAATATTCTGGATTTAAGATGTGAGAATTATTTCTATTGTCTTCAGATGAACAAATAACCAGATTCTGTTATTCAGCTTAGAAATTGCTGAAAATAATGTAAAGGTTTTTTAAAATTGGGATGACCATTAACTTAGAACTATTCTGTATGGGTAGTTATTCTTGAATGGATTTTGTTCTCATTGAAAACAAGCAGAAGAAAAGAACATCTTTACCAGAGAAACACACCCTTGCTGGTAAGGAGTTCTTCCTATTCTTAGAAACAAGGTATATAAAAAAAAAAAGTTGAACAGCTAATGAATGCGTGCAGTTTGATTCACTCTTCCTCAAGCACTTCTGTTTGTGGCACTGCATTTTCTTCTAACTGGAAATTACTGAAATGTTAACTTTTCCTTTGTTTTCCAGGATATTACCCCCCAAAGAGAATAATCATTACCTGCTAGATGTACCTTTATATGATTTGGGACCACTGTAACAGTTTTTGCCTACTGAACACTTTAATGAGCCATCAGTGTTCTTGTGTTGTACAAACTCCTTTTCATTTTGATTCTTTTTTTTACTGAAACCTGAGCCATTGTCTGGGTCACCTCTGCTGCATAGTTGCCTTTATGCCTTTATATTAGAAAACCTTTCAGCAGTGGCAGGATTCAGAGTGTACAGAAACAACTATTGTGTACAGACATCAACTATTCCTAATAGCCTTTCTTTGCTCTCAAAACAGAGAAAAGTAGGCTATACAACCATGAGAGCCACAAGACCACTCTTTGGTGGGCCTTCTGTTGGACAGTGGTTAGGCAAATGTGAGCATAATTGCACCTTACAGGTACTCAGTCTGATTTTGTAGAATTCAACTGCTTCCAAATACTTTCAAATAAAAAATTATGTTTTCAATATTTTATTCCTTTTTCACAGCACGCTTAAAAAAATAGCTTGCTTAGACAGTAACAGTTAATTCACTGATGAAACACTAAAAATGCAGAAGAGATCTTTTTCATGTTGTAGATGAAGGCTATTTGTTTATTTCAGATTTTAAACAGAAAAATTGTAAGTAAATGGAACAGAAATAGGTAATTCATCACTAAAACTCAGATGAGTGGATACGTCAACACAAACAGGGAAGATTTTGAGTGAGATTTCTGATAAGCCACTTAAAAGATGAAAGCTTCCTATTACAGTAAAAAGCAATAAAACAAAATTCCAATTTCAAAAGCATATTAGAGTCAGAGCGATGCTTTTCTTGTTCGTTCTGTCTAGTTTAAAAGTTTGCCCTTCTTGTGCAAATTGTGTTTCAAATGCTATATGAGAGAATGTGGAGAGTAAGTGCTTGAATGCTATGGGTCTTTTCACTCAGGTATGCAGGACCCTGTAGTCAGAAAGTAGATCATGCCTTCCGGATTAACTGGGCTACGTACCTTGCCAGTACAGAGCAGATCATTGTGGCCAGCTTTGATGGCAGAGGAAGTGGATACCAGGGAGATGAGATCATGCATGCAATAAACCGAAGACTAGGAACCTATGAAGTGGAAGATCAGATTTCAGCAGCCAGGTAAGCTACAGTGAAATGGTCAACAACTGTGTCGTCTTTTCTGTGCTTATTTCAAAATTATTGGCTAAAACATGGCTAAATTCTATGTTCATTTTTTTGTGTGTGACTTGTAAGCCAACCATCATTTTATGCTCAAAAAGAGAGGAGAGTTAATGCTGTACTAAATTTACTATATTTCTGATTTTATAGGGATGGTAGCTGTCACTTTAGTTAAGGGAAGTATACCAACAATGAATTTGTAGTTTAAAGTTTTTCTCCAAGCTTTTTTGCAGCTTTCTGTTGCAACTGAGACTTACTTGTATGCACTGAGGTGCCCTTTGTTTATGTTACAGTTCATCTTCGTAACTTAGTTTATATTGAAGAATCTTATGGAAGTTAATTCTTTCAGGATTACACATGGAATTGAAAAAGTGGCAGAGAGGTAGGATGGGGACAACTTGGTTATCAGAACTAGTTCCAGCAAATGATACAGATGTCGGTGGATGTGATTTAAGAGTTTTTGCAAACTTCTCAGGGTCTGCCGTCGTAAGGAGTCACTACTGTGCAGTGGGAAATGCTTATTCACAGAAGAGAAAGAGGCCAAAAGGATGAAAACTAGGCACATCTGCACCATGGCAGATTCCTGCAATCTATTAAGTGTTCAATTATTGTGTTTGCTTTTAGAAAGTTTTCTGAAATGAGCTTTGTCGATAAGGACAGAATAGCTATTTGGGGTTGGGTAAGTACTCAAATTTGCTTGGCTGGCTTACTTAATTGTAACAACTAGTTGTTGTACTGCCTCCTGTGGGTGTGATGTACTTGAGTATTGAATGTGAAGCACCTCTGGTGTAGCAGCACAGTCCAGTATCTTGAACTGATGAAGTGTATCATGCAGTTGCATGTATGCATGAGACATTCCCCATTTGTATTTAGGTGCTTTTGAAACAAAAATTCAGACTACTGGAGGGATTAAAAACTATTTAAAGAGATACAGCCAACTACTGTGTACTAGATCATAAGATCATAGAATCGTAGAATGGCCTGGGTTGAAAAGGATCTCAAAGATCATCTAGTTTCAACCCCCTCGCCATGGGCAGGGTTGCCAACCACTAGACCTGGCTGCCCAGATAGTAATATTTAAAGAAAAATTCCAAATATATTCAATAATATCTCTTAATACTAATTGGATGACTCCAGATTAATAATAATAATAATGTAAGGCTGTGTGGTATGCTTGTAGCGTTTTCACTAGCAGTCTGAAAATACCTAAACATACTGTTTGGTTTTGATTATTTTATTTCAGGCTAGATATCTCTGATTTGGCTATGTTTTTAAATCTGTTACAGAGGATGGGAGCACTTAATAGCATGTATATAGCTTCTCAGCTTCAAGGTAAATCATACATGCATGTAGCATTAGTTGTAGCTATTTGGTACAAGCTCTGTTTAAACACTTCTCCATCCTAGGCTGCCATTTAATTGTTTTTCTGGTGTTCAATGGGTGTTTTTTGCATGCTTTATGTTGAATTAAATACAGGAATGCATGCAGGATCTTGAACTAAATTGTGAGCTGAAATTTCTTCATTGCTGGTGACAAGCGCCAGTGAATAATTGTTTGAAGGCAAGTTATGATGACAGTGATGCCTTTAGTACCTTTCCAACACCTCTGTGATGTATGAAGTTGAGCCTTCTGTAATGAGCATTTTCAGGAGGAAAATTCTTTCTGCAGAAACAGAGGACTTAATGCATTCCCGTCTTACTGCTTATGAGCCTCGGGATGAACAGTTGAAGAGCAGTCCTCCTGGGGCTAGGCTGGGGGTCATGTATCCTGGATACCAAATCCATGGGAATTTCTTTCTCTTGGGTTTTTAGATTGTCAGCCTCTCACTATGTGCATTCATTTTGCCAGGTTATGCAAAGTATTCATACACGGGTTTAATTAGTAAGTACATGCATTATGTTGCTGATTTCATTGAGAAGACTTAAGTATTGAAGTGGAGCAAACATTTAAGAGCTTTGAACTAAGTCACAGTTCCATCTGCCTGTAATCTGTTCTCAAGGCAAAAACGAGATCCAAAAATCACTCTTCTTTTTGAATGTACGTGGGCACGCTTTCCTAAATAATCTCTTCAAACTACAGGGAGGGCAGTCGTTTGGGAGGTTGGTGACATTGTTTAGGTAGCTTGCTGCCTGAATGCTCAAGTGTGTCAGATATTTACTCATCTGTGTATCGGGCTAGACTGTGAATGTTCTGTGCCTAGCAAGAAGTATCTTGCTGCACAGTTCCTCCCACAGAATCAGCAGAAGATCCTTCACTCCCAGTCACAGTCTTGCTCTTACTCTTTGTAGGAGAGGAAGTAAGTGAGCTGCCATAGGCCTGCTCTGAGGGAGCTGTAAATTTTCGGGTGCCCTGGTACAACTACTCATCAAGCATGTTACGGGCCTCAGCTCTGCTTCCACCTACTTCCCCAGCACATAGAGGGACACAGTGGTGCAGCAATGTCTTGTTTCCTGTCTTTCGCTGCTGCCTACAGTGCTACCAAACACTGTCATTCTAAGCTGAGTCACAGATCAACGGCATTTGCACCCCTTTTCCACAGCACACTCTCATTCATCAGAGCCACAGCTGCCATGCACTGTTTGATGTCTGTTTCCCACACTGTGCAGGCTGAGTGAGATCTGACCCAAATTCAGAATGGAATTCATTAATATGAAAAATGCTGATCCTATAAATGTCTGAACCACTTAGCAGATGGGCCCCATCCTTTCCTTTCCGACTAAAATAACAGCAATGTTTTCTTCTCAGTCTTATGGGGGATATGTGACCTCTATGGTGCTTGGCTCTGGAAGCGGCGTATTCAAGTGTGGAATAGCGGTTGCCCCTGTGTCACGTTGGCAATATTATGGTATGTGATGGCTTCCTTGTTACAAGGATTCCCATATGTCTTGCAGTGCACATGCTGCAAAGTGTTGACTCATAGTGCAGAACTTTGATTATCTACTAGATGCCATATAAATGCCATTTGGTCTGTTTTTATGAACTCACGGCTATTGCATTTCAGAATAAAACCAGTTGCCTAAACCTTATTTCCATTTTAAAAAGTTACAACCACAATTTCAGATAATCTCTATGACCTTTAATGATGCAAAATTTTTATATTTGTAGTAATACTGTAATATGTCTGCACATGTATTGCTGAGCTGCCACATGTTCTGAGGTACTGAGACCAGTATCAAGTATACTTTGCGTATTTAAAATGCTACTTTTTTTAAAGAAAGAGAGAACTGTGAGACCTAAAATCAAACTTGCATTGCAAACTGCTCTCTGAAAACGACAATCAAATTTAATTTTACACGTAGCTTGATGTGAGGAAAAGCTGAACAAATTGACAGGTCTGTACAAACTTCCATGTTATAGTTTATAAGGTTGTGAGACACACAAGGCTATAAATATGGTTTTATAGAGAACTTCCTCCCAGATAATAACGTATAGTTAACAGTACAGTATATGTTAGTACAGTGCGGCAATGTGGACATTAAAATATGTTGACATAACAAACACTGGTTTGTATGGTTAAAATAAAGCAGTAAATTTGCAGGAGTAATAAGATATCATTCTCAAAAATCTGTGGAAAATTAGATATTAAACTTTGACTATATATAAGATAGAGTCCTAAGCTTCTGCAGCATTTCATATCATAGACTTTAAGTGTTACATGTTTAGATTAAAAAAAAAAAAAAAAAAGTAATATATATTTTTAAAATGCTCATTATTTACTAAACTGTTTTAGCAGCTATTTCAGCAATTTTCTTAGGCTAGTTGAAAGAATAACAATAAGGTAACATTGACATAAAGTACTTTATTAATATTCAACATTCAAGTGTCCATGGCAACAAGAAGATTAAATACACTGACTAATAATGGTTACCTACACAGCTTATTGTGGGAAAACTTGTTTTTTATCTTCCATCTCTTTTTTATTTCTAGTATTTATTCTTATTGTGTCTATCAGTGTGTGAAACGTCTGGCAGTCAGAAATATTGGGAATTAAGTAGTACATTCTATTTGTTGCTTTTTTTTTTTTAATTACAGACTCAATATACACGGAGCGATATATGGGCCTTCCTACAGAAAGTGATAATCTGAGAAACTATAACGTAAGAAATCACTTGATTTCATTTTAAGTATGTTCTTTCTTTCCTAAGCTGTTCTTCATGCAGTTTATTGCATCCCCGTGTGAAGAATTAAGTTTGTTTCTTTATTCCAGTGTTAATTATTGCATTCCACTTTTAGAGGTTGTAGTCTCATGCTTCTGAGTTTGAATGAGGCAGTTACTCCTTGCTGTACAGCATGGGCTCTTTGTTGTTTCTTTGGTTTACTCATTTTTGTTGGGTTTTCTTTCTTTTACATTCAGTTCCATTTGGCTACTATGCAGATTGTGAAATAAGCTGTAAAACTGCTTTATTTTGTTCACAAAGAAACAAATTTGTCTTAATATGCTCATGGACAAACTATGTATTATCTCAAAAAAAGCCCAACAAAAACAAACAAACAAAACCCTCAAACATTTCCATCAAAACAAATCTACGCCAGTTCTCTCTGAAATTTAATTAAAAAGCATGGATATCGTGAACTTTCCAACTTTGGAAGCTGTAAGCTTTATTCAGGGAAAGAAAAATCTCCCAGGTATTTGGAAACCTTTACAGGGAGGCAAGTCTGTGAGTACTCTGAGCATACAAATACACTGCAGACCAACTGAGAGCCAGCTTGGGACTTCTCTATGAATATAGGATTTCTGAAAGTTGATCAAAAGTAACTGATGTTTGTCCAGATATTAAACAATTTCCAGGCAATGTAATGGGAACAAAATACCTGTGGATTTTGCTTCATTGCACAGAGAAGTTTCTGATGGAGGAGTAATGTCTACCCTCAATGTGCCAGCAGCTTTTTGTTGCTTAAAAGGCTTTTTGAAACTGCAAGCAGCGGAGTGTACGACAGAGCTGCCCAAATTTTCTATAAGGTTTTGTTAAATTTCAGATCGAGGTGGAAATACACTGACTATTGGAGAAGAGTGAGTGATGTGAAGAGTACTTTGTTATTGCGGTATTTCATGGAGATGTTTAGCTATAATCACGTTGAAACCAAACATAAATTTTAGAGACAAAGAGATGGGGTATTCTCTCTGTTTAGCTTGGTGAATCGGTTTGATTCTTTTCCTCCCCAGTACACAATCAGTCCTACACTATTTCAGTATCATGAGGTGGGGAAGAAAGAGTGACTTAACAGTGTGTAAAACATATGATTATATACACTGAAATTCAGACAGAAGTGTCTGTTTTGACATACTACAACAGTGATCCAGTTTGTCATACTGCTGTACGAGCTGAGGAAATCAGTAGTGATTTGCAGGGTGATTGTCTACTGTGTCCGCCTCTAATAGGAGAGCTGCTTGGGCCCAGCAGGGCTGACCAGCAGCCTGCAGCAGCCTGCCTGCTTTTTTCCAAATGCAATTCTTTATGGCAATGGGAACAGTAGGAGGTCTGTGAGGTAGCAGAGTAAATAGAAGTTACAGTCGTTGTGTGGAACGAACGTTAACGCTCTGGGTGCACAAAGTCATTCAACAGCTTCACAGCACAGATGGCAACAGAGGACTGTTTAATCCTTTCAAGCCAGGAGTCGGATTTTCTTGGCATAGTATTCATTGCTGGCAATAGCCACGTTGAAACTGCCAGTACCAAAGAGCTAAAGGTTTCAAATGTGTTACTCTGAGGACTAATTGGGGAGAATGGTGGCTAGATGGAGGAGGGGCAATTGCACAGATCAGATTGTCGCACTTCATTGCTCCTTCTAGATACATGAAAATTTGACATGTCTTCATTTATTGCTGAAAGCTTCAAATAACCTATTACTTAAAATTTGCTTTTCCACATAAACTTAGAGTGTGTGTAGCTTCAGAGGTGAGTTCGTTGCTTTTCATATAACTACAATGAAAGAGTCATAGTATGTTGTTGTTGCTGAAGACCTTTCCCGTCCTCCACCCAGTATGTTTCTCTGGCTTACAGACCCTTCCTTCAGTGGCTCAGGCCCAATAAATCTGCTCCTGGCCCCTTACTGAAGCTGAAGGCCAACTCCTGAATAGTGTTGTTCAGCGAAACAAGTACTGAAAAGCTCTCCTAGCTAAAGCTGTTAAAGTATGTTAACTTCATACTGTCAGGTTTGCATGCTGCATTGTATATATTCCCTGTTCTACCACATAAAACATGAAGCTGGTTTGAAAGTGGAAAGTTGCATAAACCCTGTACTGTGTGATCTAATTTAAAAGAAATGGGGATATGTGCACACCTGTTGAGAATAGGTGTATATTGCTAAATGCCTTCCTAAAGCAGAGTGATATTAATGACTGTGAATGTGTCATCTCAGGAAACTGCATCTAGTGGTGTTGAGAGGTAAACCCTACCTATGTATTACTGTGACATTAGATATCACACTTATTGATGGATGAGATCTGACATTCAGTTACCAGGCTGAAGGATGGTTCATAATCCTCTCTGTAGGGTACTTAGGTGTGATCAGTGCCACTTAATGGTTGTGAGGTATTAACAGTTGGCATTTTGTGAAAGACAGTCATGAGCATGGGTAGGGCTCCCACTATAAGCATGAAAATGTGAGTACAGGTCCTGTGCTGAATGGCAGAAATCTCATCTGATGTCAGAAATGTCCCTGATGTAAAGGACTGAAGGCTAAAGTGTGCTGGAGTTTTGCCGGTCAGATGTAGTAGCCACAAAGAGCATATCAAAGAGGACTGTTCAACTTGTGAGATTATTTTGCAGTTCACTCTGAATTTGATATGCTTTTGGCAAGTGTTTGAAACAGTCATAGATTTGGCAATCTTTTTCTAGCAGATTTGAAATGTTCAGTCCTTAAGAACTGCTGCATCATTAGGTTATGCAAAACAGGGTACAATTTTGTAAATATGCCATCTTGTACTGATTTGACATTTGTTCTATTATCTGAGAATATGCTTAAAGAGAGAGAGACCTTCAGTTTCAGCCAAACCTTAACTTGTTTGTTGAGTGCTGATAAAATGTTGACTGCTGTGTGATCTTTAGAAAAGCCAGTTACACTCAGCAGGGCCTAATTCTCAGTACTTGCACACAGCCCGTTTTCAGACCCTTTGCCATTACAGCATAACTATGAAATGGAAAGGATTAACTACATTGCATTTACATACAGTCCACCTGGGGTTTGTTCAGTTATTTCAGCTGTGGCTTGAGTTGTGACTGTGTCTAACTTCATACTGTTAGCTATTGTGACACCTCTTTAATCTTTTTTAAGGAAGGGATGGGGTGGCAGAAATGCTTTGTATTTACTGCACAATTTAGGGAAAGGGAAGGCACTCAGTGTTATGTCTGGGTACAGCAAGAGAGAAATGACTTAAAAAAGAAATTCTTCCTTTTGTGTACACCTTTTCTGACATATTTTACGGCTTCATTTCATTTAATGATTGAAGACAAAAAGAAATGACATGCTTTCCTTAAAACCGCTTTTGGAAGGTAGATCAAGTAAGGCTTCCACACATAAGTTTGCTGTCCCTTAAACTAAATTTATTTGCTAGGAGAAAGCTTATAAAGAAGATCTATCAAGTTGTTTTCCATGCCTATGGAAAGTACTTCATCAAAGGATATTGCCTGTGTTGTTTTCTTTTTTTATACACTAGTTGGCCACAGTAATAGTGCTCCTTACTTTATGTCCCCTCAGATTCTGGCACTCTTAGCTATCCGTACTGGTGTGTTTCAATG